ACCTGTATTGATTCCTTCCAAGGGTGGTGCCCCTGTGATCTAATTACCTTCCACTAGGCACCACCTCTTAAAAGTTCCACCACTTGAACAATACCAAATTGGGGACCAAGGATCTAGCACATGAATCTTTGGGGGAAAATCTATATTCAAACTATAGCATGCATCGAATGTTAAGAGTGTCTAAATATATAAATCAAATATTATCTGGTGGGAGATATAGACTGCAACATAATAATAGTAGGGAACTCTAATACTTCACTATCATTAATCATTGGAGAAATGAAAATTAAAACCACACCTTTTAGGTTTTTGGCTGCTATCAAAACCGTGCTTATAAACAACCCATGGATTTAAGCAATCACATTATTAGATATATACCCAAAGAAATGAAATCATTTTGCTAAAGATATATCTGCACTTCCATCTTCATTGTAGCATTGTTCACAATATCCAGCTATGGAAACAACCAAAATGTCCATCAACATTTGCATGGATATAAAAAATATGGCAAACCCAGGAAAAGAACATACTCTTTTTATGGACTGTAGTATTATGTGAATGTTACATTTATTCTGAACATTTAGGGGCTGCAAAATGTAATGAGAAACTCATGACTAGATAACAATACTAGTTTTAGATAGTATGCCCTTGATTGAAATATTTAATTAAAATTTTTAAAAATTATTTTTTAGTTGTAGTTGAACACAATACCTTTATTTTATTTATTTTTATGTGGTGCTGAGGATTGAACCCAGGGCCTTGCATGTACTAGGCGAACACTCTACCACTAAGCCACAAACCCTTAATTGAATTTTTAACAGGTTAAACATGAAATCTTAGAATGTTATTTGCTTTTAGTTAGATAAAATTCAGCTTTGCAATTGCTAGAATTATCAAAGTTCCATGGTAATTAAAATCTGAATTGATTCTTATTGCAAATGGAATCATCAAACTAAAAATGTATATGTATACCCTTTTAAAAATGAATTTGCACTGGGTGTGATGGCACATGCCTGTAATCCCAGTGGCCCAGGAGGCTGAGGCAGGAGGATTGTGAGTTCAAATCCAGCCTCAGCAACCATGAGGTACTAAGCAACTCAGTGAAACCATGTCTCTAAATAAAATACAAAATAGGGTTGGGATATGGCTCAGCGGTTGAGTGACCCTGAGTTCAATCCCTGGTACCCATCCTTCCCCAAAATAAATTTGCTATTTCTTGTTAAGCCAGGAAATTGAAAGGTAAGAGCTATGGTTTGTCTCATGCTGCATAGAGTATTTCTTACATAAAGACCTAATTGTAAGTTGTTTTTTTTTTCATAGTTTTCATCTAAAATCAAGTTTATCTAAGGTCCCATTTTAACCATGGTTAATAGGAAATGTCTTTAATGAAAATTGCCAACCTTTACTAACATTTAACAAGAATATTTTTGTTAGAAATTTAACAAAAAGTAATTACTTCTACTGTAGTAGAAGCTTGGGATAGTATGAAATAGAACCCAGGAAATTAGATTACTGTCAGCAGTTGCTCAAGATTCTAGCTGATAGACTGGTAAAATTAGTGGAAAGGGGAATGCAAATAGAATTTGCTTAAGTTTTAAAAACATGCATGCTATAAGAAAATCAGAGGACTGAGAGGGAAAATAAACTGGTTGATAACATTTCTGGTGACAATCCTTTCCAGAAATATTTTGTACTTTTATTTTAAAATGTATCCTGCTATAACAGTTTAATAAATTCTTTTTTTTATTTTTATTTTTTTAGTTCTCGGCAGACACAACATCTTTGTTTGTATGTGGTACTGAGGTTCGAACCTAGGCCGCATGCATGTCAGGCGAGCGCAATACTGCTTGAGCCACATCCCCAACCCATTAATAAACTCTTTTAAAACTATAAAATATATGGCATATACACATAGTGGATTTATTCAGCCTTTAAAAAATGAGAAATTCTGTCATTTGTGACAATATTGACAAAGCTAGAGGACATTGTGTTAAGTGAAATAAGTTGGGCAGAGTTACACATCCCACAGGGTCTCACTTATATGTGGAATCTAACAAAGTCAAACTCAGAAGCAGAAAATAGAATAGTGGTTAACAGAGGCTGGTGGGTGGATAGGGAAAGGGAGACATTAGTCAATGGGTTCTAGTGGATAAGAGGATTAAATTTGGGTGTGCTATTGTGTGGTGAGGTGACTATAGTACATAATAATGTATTGTATATTTCAAAATAGCTAAGTGAGGATTTTAAATGTCCTCACTATAAAGAAATTTTAAATACTTGAAGTGATGTATGTGCTAATTACTCTGGTTCAATTATTCCAGAATGTAAAATTCACTGAAGTATCACTTTGTATCCCATAAATATATACAATTATTATCTACCAATAAAGATAAAAATAAAATTAAAATATTATTCCAATATTCTAATAAAGAACAGATGGAAAATTTCAAATGATTTCTTTTAAACTACCAAACAGGGGTCTGGAGTTGTAGCTCAGTGGTAGAGCACTTGCCTACCATGTACAAGGCTTTGGGATCAATCCCCAATATTGAAAAATAAATTTATGGGCTGGGGTTGTGGCTCAGTGGTAGAGATTTTGCCTAGCATGTGTGAGGCACTGGGTTCAATTCTCAGCACCACATATAAACAAATAAATAAATAAATGTCCATCAATAACTAAAAAAAAAATTAAAAAGCAATCCAAGTGATGAAACTTAATTAACTAGACATGTGAAAGATTTGCACTCTGAAACTATAAACAATGCTGAGACATATTAAAGAAGGTTTAAATTGATATATACTATATTCATGAATCAAAGCACTCAGTATTATTAAAATAAATTATTCATACATTGATCTATAGATTTAATAAAATACAAATTAATATTTTGAAATTTGGTAGAAATTAACAATCTGAATCTAAAAGTTCATATGGGAATGGAAAGACATAGAATAAGCATCATTCTTGCAAATGAAGAAAGTTGAAAGAATTGTACTACATATCTTAGTCTTACTATAAAGTTATAGTTTACCAAAACAGTGTGTTATTGACCAAAACTGTTAAGGTAATTTAATAGGATAAATAATCTTTTCAGCTAATGGGGCTGCATATATTGCACCTCCATAGGAAAAAAAAATTTACCTCAATGTAAATCTTATACCTTATATAGGAATTAAGTCCAAAATGGATCATGGACTTAAATATAATAGACAAACATAAAACTTCTAGAAAAAAACATAGGAGAAAGTCTTTGTGATCTGGAAGTAAACAAAACTTTGTTAGATAAGACATAAAAAGCATAAATCATAAAAGAAAAAAAATTAATGAACTAGACTTTGTAAAAAATTTAAGAACTCTATTCTTTAAAAGACTCACTTGTTATTTCCAGTAATTTTTATTGACTGATTGATAGATGTGCATAAAATTTTAATGGATCAAAATTATCCTTTTCTAGAGGGGGTGCACCTAGTCATTTTCCAGGAAGAGTGGTGGCTGATAATGCTAACTGAATCACAGATAGTGAGTCAAGGTTGTGTTAGGGCCCTAGAAAAAATGGGTTTATATCTGGTCCTCTTCCTCTAGGATTTTTATATGATTGCCTAGAATATACTTCAGGGAATTCTCATGCTGGAAGGTACCAAAATCAAATTTCTGTCTCAGGGGACTTGTTCATTTCAAAGTTTTTCTCTTTAGTCTTTTTTTCCATTCAACCTGAGCAGCTTCAGAATCTGGCAAATGTTGTGTTGAGAAAAGTGGTTTTGTGCTTAAGGACCTCAAAAAGTCTGCACATCCTGCTGGTTTCTCTGTCCCCCACCACAATTCTATGTTGCTATATGCTAGGCATGAAAGACAAAGATTTTAAAGGTGTCTTAGGCAGACTGAAAATAAAAGTCCAGAATATTATATACTAATCAAACTCTAAGTAAAAAAATATTATGGTAGTATAAGTTTAGTCAAAATAGGGTTATCTAATTTACTTTAGAGAATCAGAAATCAAATCCAAAGATATAGACATCCCCCCAGGCATCTGGAATAAAAAAAGACAATGAAAAACTTCATGAATATAAAATAAGTAAGATAATTCATGTAGCATAAAAAGCAAAAATGGAAATTGTGTCTTACTTGGTTCCTGGTTCTAGACAGCTACAGTAGAGAGAATTCTAAAATGGCCTCAAAGATTCCCATCTCCTAGTATACATACATGCCTTGCAAAACGCCCTACCCTTCATCATGGATGAGCACTTTGAACATGATAGGATATCACGTTTATAATTAGGTAGATAATCAGCTGACTTGGTGTTAATCAAATGGGAGATTATCTTGGGTGGGCATGACTTAACCATGTAAGCCTTAAAAGGGAGAAATATTAGAAAAATATTTATTTTGCTGGTTTCAGAGGAAGAGAGTAAACAGTCATGTTGTGAACTGCCAATGCAACCGGGTAGCCTCTAGGAACTGAAAGCTTACCCCAACCAACAGTGAACTAGTAATCCAAGACCTACCATATATTAGCTGTAAGAAATTAAATTTGACCAAAAAATGGAGGAACATGGAAGAGGACCCTGGGCCCCAGATGATAACTGTATCCCTGACCAATAACTTAATTGCAGTTTTGTGAGACCCTGAGCAGAGAACCCTGTGGGTCATGCCCAGCCTGTTGACCAAGAAAACTGTAAGATAGTAAATGTTATTTTAAGACATCAGGTAATATTTTACCCCCTAATTTCTACTCACATATGTTTTCTCTATCTTAAGACCACAGAGAATTTACTTTCTTGTTTTAAAGTATGTTACATATTTAAAAATAATTTAAAATAATGTATTTCTCATCTTCATGTATTTGAAGTTGGAGGGAGGTTTATAAGTGTGTCTTATTTGACATGTAGGCCGAGAAATCCCAAAGCACTTTTAAATTAGCAATAATCCTCATAATAGATATGCCAATTGAATAGATTATGGATTATATAATAATATAACAATATCCTATAAAATGTTGTACCTTGGAGGAGCCAATGTTTGCTCTAGAAACTCTTCGATTTTAATAAAGTCCGTTTTCAACTCCTTGTTATATATCAAGAAGGGAGGATTGGTACCTGGGGCTAAGTCCTTCAACTCTTCAGGCTTTCTGTGATTATTTAAAATAAGTAGAGTTAGGTCTCTATATAAAGTACACATTATAAAAACACAATTACACAAGTGTCTACCAATTTCAATCTCCAGAATTTAACATGTCCTGATTTCTCTTACCTGGTCATATCAACAGTAGTCACATTAAATTTAACTCCTTTAAGCCAGAGAATCATGAAGAGGCGTTGGCAAAATGGACAGTTTCCAATACTCTCCCCATCACTTCCAGCCTATTAAGATTTTAAAAAAGCCTCAGTTCATTCATTTGTTTGTTCAACAAGTATGTATTGAGTGGCTACTGGTAAATGAACTAGTTGCTGAAAAAAAGTTAGAATTCTTTAACATCATGGATTCTACTATCTGTGAGCTAAGAGAGATAATGAATAAATAATCTCATTATATATAAAATTGTAAGTGTGATGAATAAATGATTAACTTTTTATATTACAAGAATTTATATAACCATATTTTGTTGATAGACATTTAGAATATTACAAAAATTTTCCTAAAGACTTTAGTAACATACATTCTTGAACATATAACTTGTCCTACATCTGAGATTGTGTCTTTAGGGTTAATCTTTACAATAAGAATGCTGGGTAGAAGTACACACATTTTATATTTTGATATACCCTGCCAAATTTTCTTCCTGAAAAGTATCTTTCCATTTGTACATTGGCCATTTGACTTTTTTGTGGATTAATTGTTCATGACAGTTTTCCATTTTTCTATCAAGGGGATAAATTTTCCCTGAGTTGGAAAATTATTGTATATTAAAGACATTAACTTTTTGTGATGCATGTTACATGTAATTTTAAAAACATGTTATTTAAAAATTAAATTTATAATCCAAGTGGCTCAGGAGGCTAAGTTGGATCACAAATTCAAAGCCAGCGTCAATAACTTTGCATGGCTCCAAGCAACTTAGTGAGTCCCTGTCTCAAAAAATAAAAAGAGCTGAAGATGTGGCTCACTGGGTAAATGCCCATGGGTTCAATCCCTGGTTAAAAAAATTTACATAATATATATCATTCTTCTCCTCTATAGAGTCTGTATATATATCAAGATTACAAACACCTATTTATGGGGTTGGTGTCAGGCGGCATGCAGAAGCAGGGGGGTCGCCCTGGAAAGAGGAAGGCTCGGGGCCGTGGGGCGGGGGGCTCCAGGAAGGAGCGGCCATGGCCGGGCCTGGCAACAGGGTTGGGGCCAGGCTGGCCGATCGTGATGGGGCTGGGGCAGGGGTTCCGGGCAGCTCAGGGGCTCTAGGAGGGCTTGGGGTGTAAGGGTTCGGCGGAGTGTCAGAGAAAGAGACCACACAAGAGACTGGCTCCATGCAATTGGCAAAAGGGGATTTATTGGGGATCCATTCCAGCACGCTGGGGCTCCGTGCTCACTCAAGAAGGGAGAGAAGCCCAGAGCCCAGAGCAGAGGTCAAGCAGAGCTTAAGTACACTTTTTGGGGAGGGCGGGGGGCTTTGCATACATCAGAACAAATCAGCATGAGGCGTAGGAAAATTGAACAACAACTCTGAGACATGATTAGCACATTCATTGGCGGGAACAGGTCAGGCGGGGGTGATTGGTCATTCCTAAGCGGGTTACACATTCAAATGATTGGTTCGGGCCCTGTGACAAACTGCACAGGGCCCTAGGCTAAATGGCCAGTAGGGCATTGTCTTAACTATCTCAGGAATCTGGGTGTAGCAGAGGAACTTTGCGATGCCCGGGTCTTTTACATTTTAATTTTGCAGTTTAGAATCAGCTTAGAAATTTTACCCTTACAGGGGGAGCTTGGGTTGAAGCTGCTGCTGACACTGCTCTGAGGCTGCCCACCATCCAGGCATTCGGCCTGCGCTCTGCTAAACTAGAATTCTTTATTCAGAAGATTCCTGCGGAGATCTTTCTCCTCATGTAAAACAAATGGAAGATCAGTGTTCACAAATGAGTACAATTTTTTTGAAAAGGGTTTGAGGGAAACAAACCTCTTGGTGCTTTTCCATGGAGCACACATGGCGGGCAGTTAATGCGTTGGAGGTTAAGTTGTTCAGATAACACAAGCAGAATGTGTTTGAAAACATTTATTCTCTGTGTACACAGTTTATGTGGGAAACTAGCTCCATGATATCTCTTGGCTAGGAAGCCTGTATAAGGACTTTTTCCATCTGATACTGAGGACAGGTTTCATATGAGTGTTACATACCTTTTTCCCCCAGGAGGACTTCAGACAACACTTTGCTTATCCAAGTGTGGTCCTAGTGAAGTCAGATTTAAATTTAGGTAGTCAGTGTAGTTAGGTAAATCGGGTCTAATGTAGAGTGAGGTCTAAAATGGAGGCCATGCTGAGAATGACTCAGGGAAAAGCAGAACAACTCTTGGAATGTTAATGAAGTCTGGGAAAAGCCCAAGGCCCAGAGTCCATCCCAAAGAAATGTTAATGAAGATTACTTCTTTGCCCCACCTGTGCCCCACCCTTCGGGCCTGCCCACCTACATTCCATCACTGAAAGAACTATAAAAAGGGGAAACAACTGTACTTCCACAGATTCCACCTCTTGGGTCCCATTCTTCCTCTGGGAGAAGTCTTTTCTACTGTCCTTTAATAAAGCCTCTACTTTTCACTCTTAAAAACAAAACAAAACAAAAACCCACCTATTTATTTCTTATTGTATTTTACTATAAAGAGCTTCTGTCACGGGCAAGGTGGTGTATGCTTGTGATACCAGTGGCTCAGAAGCCTGAGACGGAAGGATCACAAGTTCAAAGCCAGCCTCAGCAAAAGTGAGGCCCTAAGCTACTCAGTGAGACCCTGTCTCTAAATAAAATACAAAATAGGGCTGGGAATGTGGTTCAGTGCTCCTTAATTCAATCCCTGGTACAAACAAACAACAACAAAAAAGAGCTTCTGTCATGTTTTCTTCTAGTATTTTTATGGTTTCATTTTTTTACATTTATTTCATCTATTTGTAATGTATTTTGGATTGAGAGGTGTATTGGGAATCCTACTTTAGTATTTTTAATTTTTTTACAAATAGTTAATAGTTTCCTCATACCATTCAATTAAAAAACCCACCATTTTATCCAATGGATTGAAGTAGCAACCATTTTTCTGCTTTAAAATTTTGTACATATTGAGTTAAATCTGTAGAACTTTTATTCACTCTCATTCATTCGACTATTCATTTAGTTACCCAATATGTACTCACTTAACAAATAATTATATTTAACATATACTAGACTATGTGTATATATAATGTGTGTGTGTGTGTGTATATATATATATATATATATATATGAACTAGATATTAAAATGAAAATATTCCCCCAAATTAACTCTCAGTTTTAAATAGAGATAAGTTCTGTGAAATAAAGAAGTGCATTTTATGAGTGTGTAACAGAGTAACCCAGAGAAAACGATGTGAAATCCATTAAGGAAGGTCATTATTGAGGAAGTGGCATTTAAATTGAGTTAAAAGGAGGAATAAGAGGGCTGGGGTTGTGGCTCAAGTGGTAGAACACTCACCTAGCATGTGTGAGGCCCTGGGTAGCCACATAAAAATAAAATAAAGATACTGTATCCACCTAAAACTAAAAAAATAAATTTAAAAAAGGAGGAATAAGAATTAACTACATAGGGGCTGGGGTTGTGGCTCAATGGTAGAGCACTTGCCTAGAACATGTGAGGCACTGGGTTCAATTCTCAGCACCACATAAAAATAAATAAAATAAAGGTATTGTGTCCATCTACAACTAAAAATACTTTTTAAAAATGAATTAACTATGTAAATAGTCATGGAGAAGGCATTTTAAACAGAGGAAATAGCATATGCAAAGGTCTTGCAGTAGTCTTGCATATGACATGTATAAGGAACTGAAAGAAGGTCAATGTGACTGTGATTCAGCGAGTGAGTGAGAGAAGACAAAATTTAATAATACATCAAAGATAAAATCTTCAAAGGAATTGTTAGGAAAATGAACATTTCCTAACAATGAAAAACATTTTGTATTGAAATAAAATATGAATGAAAAACTCATAACACTCAATAACAAACTACTTGACTTTAAAAATGGGCAAGAGATTTAGACACTTTACAAAGGAATATACACAGATAATAAATAAAGACACAAAAAGATTTTTAACATCACTAGTTCATGAGGGAAATGTAAATTAAAATCACCACTATGAACACATTAGAATAACAAAAATGGAAAAGATTGATCATACTAAGTTTTTGCAGGGATACGGAGCAACCAGAATTCTCATATACTGCTGTTTGGAGTATAAAATGGTCTAACTGCTTTATAAACATTTGTCAAAGTTAAACACGTCTATTGTATGACCCAGCAATTCCAATTCTAGGTATTAACTGAATAGAAATAAAAGCATATATGTATAGAATGACTAGTACATGAACCTTTATAGCAACTTTATTCACAATATCCCAAACCTGGCAATAATACAAATGTTCTTCAATGTGTGAATGGATGAAAAAATGATGGCAAATACATACAATAGAATACTTTAGCAATAAAATGGAATGAGCTACTGATGCACAAAACATGGGAGAATCCCAAAATTATTATGCTAAGTCAAAGAAGCCATGCAGGAAGAATACATACTACTATATGATTCCACCTATAGAAAAATTGTAAAACATGGCAAGCCAATCTATCTTGATAGAAAGCAGATCAGTGGTTGATTGTAGGTGGGTGGCATTATGGAGTGGGATGAGAAGGACTGACTGCAAAAAGCTTAAAAAGAACTTTCTGAGGTGATGACAATGTTCTATATTTTGATTGGAATAGTGGTTACATGTATATATGTACATATATGTTAAATTCATTGAATTGTAAACTTAAAATGAGTGCATTTTATCTTATGTAAATTACAATTTGATAAACTATGTTAAAATAGCAAAGCTGAAAAGGAACAGAACAAAAATTCAAATAATGATGTTATTTGGGGATTGCACACATTGCAATGACAAAGGTAATGGTATGACCATGGGAAAGGACTGAGAGATGATGAAGTCAAGGATCTGAGAAGTCAGTGTTGTTTTATCTGGATAGATATCAAAATCACCAATAATTATGATAGAAGCAGTATTGGAAAGAGTGACAATGATGTTCAGGAAATAAGGGAGAGTGATCTGGAGATTGAAAAACTACAAATTATGAGGGACAGTGGGTGGTTAGTTTGATGTTTTGAGACTCTAGAGATTTCTCTGTATATTATCTGGAAACAGAAACGGGGATACCTCAAGGGCAAAAGTAAGAGGAATGAGGAACAAATGTAAGCCATTTCAGAGGGCTACAGCTGATGTAGTCTTCTCATGAGAGACCTAGGTTTTTGAGACACTCCAGTTTCAACATATCTGAGTTTCAATCCATTTTCTTTACTCCATACCGAAACCTACTCTTTCTTTAGGGCTTCTAAGTCTCTGAATGGCACTGCCATCTGCTATGGATTGTACTGTGTCCTGCCTTCAAATCAATATGTTGAAGCTTTAACCCCTAATGTGATCATTATTTGGAGATGGAGGTGATTACAGTTAGTTGAGTTCTGAGGGTTGGGACTTAATGTTGCGATTAGTGTCCTTATTAAGAAGAGATGAAAGTTGCTCTCTATCATGTGAGGACACACTTAGAAGATGACCATTTACAAACCAGAAAGATAGCCCTCACCTAAATCTGATCATGTTTGTAACCTGATCTTGAACTTCTGGTTATCGGAATCTCTTATCTGTTAGACCCATTTTTTTTCTGTTTTGTCTTGCTTAGCTACTAGTGTGTAGCCTGTAGAAGAATATAAAAGTCACTTTGTCTTAAAGATTCTTTGATCTGTTATTTGTAGAAATATTAAGGTCCCATGAACCCTGGGGATAATTTCGGGGTTTTGGCAAATTTTCCTTTTCCTCAGCAGCAGGCATGACTGAGGAAATGATATTTATTGTGATTCACTCTGATGTCAGGGAGTGAACAGATATGGGAAGAGGCAACCATAAAAGAGATTTCTTTTTTAACAAAAGTTAGAGAAAGGATACAATCAGAATTTGGCTTAGTGAGTGGAAACATGATTAAGGGTGGGAGGCAGGAAGAGGAATAAAGTCTGATATTAGATATGGCAGGAAGGGTGGCTCTCCTTTAGCAAAAGGACAGTCAAAACACTGATGTGTGGGGTGAAATGCAACAAAGTTTCACAGGAAAACTCAAGTTTTTTTTTTGTTGTTGTTTATGTTATCCTGATTTAAAGTGCCATCGCATAAAATTTGAAGATAATAATTCCCTAGTTTAACTGACCAAGTACTTACCTCTTTAAACGTCTTTAGCTCCAAGACAGCATGTGAACCTCTGTAAAACAACTATTTATCTGTGTTTGTGACCTAAGTTTCTAAACTTGAAAAATAATAATAGCAACAATAGCCAACATTTATTGACATTTACTATGTAACTGACTACTGTGATTTTCATCATTGTTGTATTTAATTTTCATGAGGATGATCCTTCAAGGTGGATTGTGTCATTACTCTTCTTTTAGCAGTGAGGATGGTGAGTCTCAGAGACTGACTTTCTTCAGTACACTTATCTAGTCAAGAGCTGATAACATATTCTTCTCACTCAGCAAACCCAGGACTGTCACCTCTAGAACCCACACTATTAAACACTGCTTTCTCCTGACTAATAGTTTTCTTGGATTTTTAATTCAATCAATTTTTATAATAGTTTTAAGAGAGTTTGAAAATGGTCTGAATATTCAGGGAAGAGTATAATCTCTTCCTTGTTTTTTAAACACATTAAACAATGTTTTTGACAAAAGAATTACATTCACAATCTTTACCCAAAGATTTCATTCCACAATTTTCTGTATAGATCACAAAACCCTAATTTTAGAGTGTTTGGTAGAGAGTGCAAACATTCATTTAACAATGGACAACAAACCAACATGATGGGCTATGCATTTAGAGAAAATAAAATATGGATTATAAAATTCACTGTTCTTAGTGTCTGGATATAAAGCTTGTACATATCATTCAGAGTTGAAGGACAAAGTTTTCATTGACTACATGGAATATAAACATTGTATGATATAGATTCTTAATTGTGACAGGAAAGTCTTAATCTCTTCTAAGAATCCCATCAGCAGTATGGGGAAGAAGTCATGGTAGAGTTTTTAAAACCATAGCCAGAGGTAGCTGCGTTGGAAATCATAGATTCATTTAATTTTTACCATTGATAAATATTGAACAATATTTTTAAAATTTAGCATTTTTCCCTTCTTGATTCTTATGTCCCCTCTCAGCATTTTCTATGAAATTTCTAGAGATCTTTAAAAAATTTTTTATTTGTTCATTTTATTTATACATGACAACAGAGACTATTCCAACATATTTATACAAACATGAGTATGCATATCTTATTCTAATTAGGATCCCAATCTTGTGGGTATACACAATATTTAGATTCACTGTGGTATATTCTTATATGTACAAGATCTGAGGACCCACATCTTCAAGCAAAGCAAAACAAAAAACCTGGACCACATGTAACTCAAATTTCTTCCAGAAAATCTGTAATATGTTTCAATGCCATTAGATAAATGACACCTAAAGAATTCCATTTGATGAAATTCTGGAAGTTTTTAACTAAAGTATTCACATAATTGAAAATAACTGAATAAGATCATACATACTATTTTAAAGGGTTAGAATTCTAACTCTTTTATTCACTAGTTAGGTGACCTTGGACAAAGTTACTATATATTGCTTGAATTTCTGTACATTTATGTATCCATAAAATGGGGTTAGTAATAAAGCACTTAGCATATTGCTTCCCATACAGAAAGTACTCAATAAATTATAAGTTAGTTTAAATGTAAGTCGTTGTTATTTAATGAAACATTTACACATCCAGTGTATGATTTGCTAACCTCTCCTCTCCAGATTATCACTCAAATATAGGAAGTCTATGAGGATTAAATGCAGATCAATGCCAACAGCTGATTTGAGAAATATGACTTAATTGAATAAACAGGTTAGACTAAAGGAACAATTTAGTTGCCCTATGAAGAAACATTACCTCTTATTTGGAATTGGTAGATGTAAAAGGCTAGTTGGAAAACCAAGGCTAATTTTTATCCTAACTGCCTGAATAGTCACATGTTTTGCTACAATGCAGAGATACAAAAAGTAACTCTTATGCCCCATAGCCCAGCAAAAACTTATTTATATGACTTTGCTGTGTAGGAATTCACTGGTCTTTGAAAAGACAGGTTGATAATATCCTTATTGTATATGTGATCAATTGAGAAATAACCTCAAATACTTTTTAAAAAACTACTTTGGCCAACAGGTGTTTAACTTAACATCTGATAAGTATACCTTATTTTATGTCTTTTTAAAGTCATAAACTGGGTGTATAGTTTTAGAAACAAGTTACTTAAAATTCAATGTTTTACTATACTTACAATGGGAGGTACAATATTATTACAACATTGTAATAACAAAACTTTTAATAAAGTAGTAACTACTATTATTACTACTTACTGATGGTACTGTATAATTACTACTATTAATAGCAACCTACCTCCTAACTTGATTTTAGGATAAATGAGGTAACATACATAAAATATTTGGAAGTATTTAGAAAAGGACCAAGTTGTTGTTATTATTATATTATTATTACTCTGAATACTCCCAATACTCAATAAAAACAAATTGTAAAACTAAACAGTTAATGTACTCAAAGATTTAGGAAAATATTTCATTTCTACTTGGAATAACCCATATAAAAATGTTTTTGCTTGATGAATAATTTGGAAATGCATGTTTCTTTTTCCTGCTTTAGGGGTTTTCCAAAGTAATTTTAAGAAAAGTTAAGACATATTTTTCAAAACCTCCAAGGCTGACCAAAAAGAGGAAGTACAGGATTCTAAAATGAACCCTCCTCATGCTCTTCACATAACAGGCACACAGACTACTGTCTTTTTTCTTCCACAGTGTCTATGTGACTCTGCTATGATGTTTTCCCATTGTGAAAGAATTTTAGAAAGTTTTCTCTGGGTTGTGTGGAAATTGAGTTCTCAAGTCATTCTTGGTCCTTTCTTCCACTCATTTGAACCTTCCAAAACCTATCTCATAAAATCCAGATACTGAGAGCTGGAAAGCCCTTCAGGATCATTTTGTCAGGTTCCTTCATCATATAGATGTAGGAAAAAAAGGTCTTCAGGAAGAGATATTTTTCTGAAGATTACATAGGAAGCTGCTGAAAATAGAATTTAGTTACTCTGACTACCAACTAGTCTAGTGCTCTTTCCACCATATCATCTTCTGTTTTTAAGATAAGATCTATTTTTGGTTGTCATATAAGAACAGCCAAATATCCAGGCATTCTTCTAAAACTAAGAGTAGGAAAAAATTACAAAGTTGTTTTCCATCTCTAGCCCAAATATTGAGCTTGTTTTTAGAAGCTTAGGCACTATGTCAATAATACATTCTGTATGCTGTTATTATAGCTAAAAAACTTACCTTCACAAAAAGCTCAATTTCAGGGTCTGTTTGAGTGTTGGTCCTCAGGCTTGCCATCTTTCTGTTTTACTTCCAGTTTTCAGAACCAAAAATTTGAGTGCACTCTTCTTCCAGTTTTATCCAAAGGCTAGAAGAATGTAGATGCTTTAAGAAGAGAGTTACTTTCAGTGAACTGAGTCAGACTTGGGACTAGTCTCTCCTCTTAAAGAGGTGGAACACAGAAATTTCTAAGAGCAGCTCTTCAATTTGTTTTCCTTCTTCTTCTTGATCTAACATTTGAATCAAGGAGGAGCTCAAGGGGTGGATGGCCAGAAGTGTGGGGGTGTTTCCAGAAAGGCTTCAATGCCATGAGTCAGCACAAGAGAAACACATACACACAAATACATGCATGCAGAGCTGGCTTCTGTGTATCAAGCCAGCCAGATGTTTTTTAGAGTTCTGGGCTCCATGCCCAGAAAAGGGCCTCTTATGGCTGTTCCTGTAACCTCACAGCTTTTCCAGGAAAAGGGCCAGAAATGACTTGAATTTTTATCATTGAAAAGGATGTTTATCCAATGATACCAACTAAAACAGGGTTTTAAAAAAACTGTACTTCATCAAATGTATACACCCATAATTCTTTGGCCACACAGCCAGATTTCAGTTCTGGCTTGCAAATTTCACTTCTCTTCTGTGAATGCACACTGGAGTGGTAGATTCTGGGGGCTTCTTTAGTATGCCCCTCCCATTTCTTCATTTCTTGGCAGTGTGAACTGACACCAATCACTTCCTTGTTTTGGTGTATATACCAAGAGTGATGAGTATTTCTGCATTTGTGCTTGTCAACTCTGAGAAGGCAGTAAAATATCCAAACCAATCACTCCATGTTTAAGATGTTTCTGACAGCTGTATTTTCTATCTGCCAAAGCTGGGGGTTGGTGAGTTAATAAACTCTTTGGTGGATGCTTGGAGCCAAACCAAACAGATCAACTGACTGGCTACCGCTGTGACCCTCTGTCTACAAGGCCAAATGTCCCTCAAGCTCATATGGTCTGGGCATGAACCTGCCATTGCGCCACACATAAATTTGTAGGATAAGACTCTTGGGGAAGCTCAGCCTGTGCCACACCTGCAAGTTCTAGCAAGGAGGACCTGATATATAGTGAATGTTTTTCTGGGTGAGGGAGAGGCCTGATAATTTCTCAAACGGTCTGATGGAAATCGTGCAGGACATCTGTTGACCAGCCTTCAGGGTGAGTTTAGGACTGGCCATTTGGCAAGAACGGGTGACTGCTTTGTTTAGCTATGTTTTTTTATTCTGCTCATCTATTTTTACCCTGTTCATCACACCCTATTTGTTTACTCCAAAGACAATCAACAAATGTCTGCTCTGTGCCAGGAATGCAACTTCAAGCATACTCAGTATTAGGCATCTTCATTCACCTCCACTGTCTATATGTAATCAGTATAAAATCTTGTCACTTCCACATGCTGAATATTTTTCAAATCTGTTTCCCCACCCCACTACTCCAAATTTCAAACCAGCAATATTATTTGTAAAGTTTTAAATTTTAAAATACAAAATCACTGCTTCACTCTCAGACCTCAGAAGAAAACCACTTACCCAGTCACAGTCAGCAGTGCCACAACAGACGGTAGCCTAAGGAGCTCTGCATGGTCTCTCACAAATCATCAAAGAGATGATATGTTTTTTTTCTTTGCTTCCTAGGATGTTCTTAGTTTTTTTTTTTTTTTTCTTCCTTTTTTCCCTTTTAGTACCAGGGATTGAACTCAGGGGCTCTTGACCACTGAGCCACATCCCCAGCTCTATTTTGTATTTTATTAAGAGTCAGGGTCTCACTGAGTTGCTTAGGGCCTCATCTTTGCTGAGGCTGGCTTTGAACTCAAGATGCTCCTAGTCAGCCTCCCAAGCCGCTGGGATTAGAGGCGGACGCCACCGCCCCCGGCTCAATTTTTTCTGAGATATCTTTTACATACCATAAAATTGGCCTGTTTTGACTGTACACTTCAAGGATTCTTAGCAAACTTATCAAGAGGTGTAGCCATCATTAAAATCTGACTTTAGACATTTCCATCAACTGAATGATATCTCATTTTCGAACTTGTAAGCCATCCTGTGACTACCAGCAGAACCAGGCAACTCCTAAGCTACTTTGTCTCTATGGATTTACCTATTACAGTCATTTCACATGACAGGAATCATAGAATAAGTGGCCTTTTGTGTCTATGTTCTTATTCTTCTCATAATGTTTCCAGGGCTCATCCTTATTGTAACATGAATCAGTACTTAATTCATTTTCATGACTGAATCATATTCCACATTTTTAAAAACTACTCATCAATAGACAGACATTTTGATTGTTTCCATCTTTTCACAGCTGTGAATAAGGCTATTATGTATATTTGTGTATAAGTATTTGGGTGAACATATTTTTAGAAATAGAAAGCCTGAGCCAAATAGTAAATATATATTGACCTTATTGGAAACTGCCAGACAGTTCTACACTTTTGTATTCTCAACAGCAGGATACAAGGATCCAAAGGTCTCCACATTCTCAATAAAACTCATTGTTGACTGGCTTTGTTTTATTTTATAATACCTATCGTTATCAGTATGAAGTGGTACCACTGGTGTTTATATTTTATTTTCCATAATGAAGTTGAACATCATTTCAGGTACTTCTTGGATACTTGTATTTGTGATTTGGAGAAATATCTATTAAAATACTTTACCCATTTTTTAAAAAGATGACTGTTTGAATGTGATTTTAGTTGTTGATGGACATTTATATTTATTTATTTATTTTTATGTGGTGCTAAAGATCGAACCCAGTGCCTCAAACATGATAGGGAAGAACTCGACCACTGAGCCACAACCCCACCATTTTTATTGAAATGTAGTGTTTTTGTTGTGTTGTAAGTGCTTTCTGGTGTGTTGTAACTTTCTCTTTTGGATATTAGACTGCTATCAGATATACAGTGAAATTATATTTGAACAAGCCTGATCTGTTTCCAGTCTGGTGACATTATGAATAAAAACTGCTATAAATAAACATCGTGAAAAAATGATTTTGTGAATATATATTTTCAGTTCACTCAAGATAATTAATTACCTGGGAGTGGAACTGGTGGGTTACAGAACCTACGAGTGTTTCATTTCATAAGCAATTGCAACAAGTTTTACCAAAGCAGCTTTACCGTGTTACCACTGTCCCCAGCAATGGATGAGAATTGTATCTGCTCCATGTCCTTGCCAGTACTTGATGTTCTCAGCCTTTCAATTTCAGCCCTTATGAGGGGTACCTTCTTGGGGTATTGATTTGAATTTCTCTTGGTGACTAATGACGTTGAGCATCTTTTCATGTACTTATTGGCCACTCAAACATCTTTTTTTTCCAATTCTTTATTTTTAAATTGACAAATAGAAATTGTAAATATTGGTCATGTACAACGTGTTGTTTTGAAATGTGTTTACATTGTACAATGGCTAGATTGAGCTCACTAACAGATGCATTACCTCCCATAGTTACCATTTTCCTGTGGTGAGAATATGTAAAATCTACACTCATAGCAATTTTCAAATATGTAATACACTGGTATTAGCTACACTTCCCATGTTACACAATAGAACTCCTCAGCGTCTCCCAGTCTCACTCAGATTTTGCATTCTTTGGTCAACGTCTCTCCAAACCCTGCCCCTAAGCTTCTATTGCCATCTCCCACCTACTTTTATGAGTTAAAACATTTTTAGATTCCATGTATAAGTGAGATCATGTGGTATTTGTCTTTCTGTGCTGGCTTGTTTCACATAATGTTCTCCAGCAGTTCCATCCATGTTGTGTCAAGTGTAGAATTTCATTTGTGTGTGTGTGTGTGTGTGTGTGTGTGTGTGTGTGTCTGAATAGCATTCCATTGTGGATATGTACCATGTTTTCTTTATCCATTCATCCATTCATTGGTATCCAGCTTGACTCCATATCTAAGCTACTGTGAGCAATTCAACAATAGACAAGAGCATACAGGTATCTCTTTGGTATGCTAATATCATCTCCTTTGGAAATATAACCAGAAGTGGGATAGCTGGATCATAGGGTAGATTTGTTTTTAAGTTTTAGAGGATTCTCCATATTGTTCTACATAATTGCTGTAAATAATTTACACCAGCCAACAGTAATATAGAGGTTCCTTTTTTCCCCCCCTGTGGTGCTGAGGATTGAACCCAGGGCCTTGCACATGCTAGACAAGTGCTCTATCATTGAGCCACAACCCCAGCCCAGGAGTCCCTTTCTCTGCATGTCCTCACCAGCATTTGTCCCCTTTTGTCTTTTTGCTAATAGCCATTCTAACTGGAGCAAGATGGTATCTCACTGTGGTTTTGATTTTCATTTCCCTGATGATTAGTGGTGTTAAGCCTTTCCTATACCTGTTGGCCATTTGTGTATCTTCCTTTGAGGAATGTCCATGCAGGTCTATTACCCATTCTTTAATCCATTACTTGCTGTTTCGCTAATGAGTTGTTTGAGTTCCTTATGTATTATGGGTATTAACCCTTTGTCAGGTATATAGTTTGCAAATATTTTTTTCTCCATTCTGTAGGTTGTCTCTTTACTCTGTTGATTGTTTCCCTTGCTGCCTGGGCTTTTCTTTGATACATGATTTTTAAAAATTATTGATTCAGTCTCAATGCTCATTATTGATCTTTTCAGGTTTTTTATTTATTCATGATCAAATCTTGGTAAGGTGTGTGTCCAGGAATTTACCAATTGGTTCCAGATTATCAAATTTCCTGGCATATAATTGTTCATAATACTTGCTAATATAAATCCTTTGTATTTCTTTGGTGTCAGTTCTAATTTCTCCTGTTTCATCTCTAACTTTATTTGAGTCTTCTTTTTCCCTAGTTAGTCCAGCTGAGAATTTGTCAATTTTGTTTACCTTGTCAGAGAATCAGCTCTTCATTTTGTTGATCTTTTGTAATTTTATCTCTATTTCATTTATTCCTGCTCTGATCTTTATTATTTATATCCTTTTACTAATTTGGGGTTTGTCTTGTTTTTCTAGTTCTTTGAGGTGTGTGATAGGTCATTTGTATGAGGTCTTTTCTGCTTTTCTAAAAAAAAGTTTAGTTGTAGATGGACACAATACCTTTATTTTATCCACTTATTTTTTACGTGGTGCTGAGAATCGAACCCAGTGCCTCACATGTGCTAAGGGGCTGCTTCACCACTGAGCCCCAGCCCCAGACCACCTTTCTGCTTTTTTGATGTAGGTGTCAACTGCAATACACTTCTCTCTTAGTAGTGCTTTTGTCATATCCCATAGGTTTTGGTATTTGTGTTTCCATTTTTATTTCTTTCAAGAAATTTTAAAATTTCCTTCTTAATTCCTTCCTTGACCCATTGGTTGTTCAGGAGTGAGTCGTTTAATTTCTGTGTTTGTATAGTTTCCAAAGTCTTCCTTGTTATTGGTTTCTAATTTTGTTGCCCTGTAATCAGAAAAGATGCTTGATATGATATCAATGTTTCAGCAGTACAGGGTGCCCCATGTCCAGGTCTGTCCCAAATCCCCAGTTGGTTTGTTGTCTGTCATGAACTTGCAGAGTGTCTGAGAAGTATAGTCTGAACTTGCTAGCATCCACCTGTGACCAAGTTAGGCTCACATACCTCATTCACATTCACTGTACTTTGTTAAAGTACCATGTGATTCTGCCAGGATTTGGGCCTCACTGTGAAGTCAATAACCCCAGGCTCCTATGCCAAAACTTGGCACCTACCTCCCTTTTCTTTCCCCCAGCAGACAATTACTCTCTCCATGTTGTGCTTCCTGGGGTTGAGGGAGGAAAGGGTGGACAGTCCCATGCTCACCAACGCTACAATGCTGGATAACATCTGGAGCCCACAACCTGCTGAGACCAACCCAACATTGGGGTAGGACCAGGACTCACTCTGCTATGCGCTTTCTACTGCTGTGGCATACTCTGGCCCAAGACCACTGCAACAGGTCACAGGTGATGTTGGCCAAAATAGAGGTCTGATTAGTAGGGGCTGAGTCTACGCTGGCATTGAGGTGGGTCCAGAGACTCTGTTTTCAGGCAGTGGCCTGGGGGTGGATGCTCTTAGGATCTTCTCAGTGTTGGTTTCACAAGCTTGGCACTGAGTTCCAAGACACGGTCCTGTGCTCCCTTTCCTGCCCTGTCTTTCAGAGGGAGTGGTTTTGCTTCTCACTCTGCTGCCCAAGGTTGGGGTAGTGTTGGTGGGGCAGTCCCTTGGATGTCCAAGCTGATCCTAAGCTGGACCACACTTGGGTTATTTTAGTCAGCTTTTTCACTGCTGTGACTAAAGGGCCCAACAAGAACAACTGTAGAAGAGGAAAAGTTTATTTGGGGGCTCACGGTTTCAGAGGTCTTAGTCGACAGAAGGCCGGCTCCAATCCTTGGGGCTCAAGGTGAGGTAGGACATCATGGCAGAAGAGAGTGGGAGAGGGAAGCAGCTCACATGGTGATCAGGAAGCGGAGAGAGAGACTCCACTCTCCAGATACAAAATATATACCCCATAGCTATGCCTCAATTCCTGCCTCCTCCAGCCTCACCCTACCACTTCAGTTACCACTCAGTTAATCCCCATCAGGGGATGTACTCACTGGTTGGGTTAAGGTTCTCACAACCCAACCGTTTCTCCTCTGAACCTTCGTGCACTGTCTCACACCTGAGCTTTTGGGAGACACCTCACTTCCAAACCAAAACATGGGTCTTTCAGATGCAGGGA